AGCAGAAAACAACACCCCACTCCCACTGATCATTTTCCTGCCGTATTTCAGCACCTGGTCCACATTGCCAGATGCCCTGTGTTTCTTGGGACTCATTCTTGCCTTCCCCAGATGAAGGCTGTGATAAACTCTCTGAGAAGCTGAAGCCAGACTATGATTTTTTTTTTTTTGAGTTGAAGTCTCACTCTGTCACCCAGACTAGAGTGCAGTGGCCGCTCCTGGCCACCGCAGCCTCGACCTGCTGGGCTCCGGCAATCCTTCCGCCTCAGCCTTCCAAGTAGCTGGAACTACAGGCACGCACTACCATGCCCAGCTGATTTTTGATTTATTGTAGAGATGAGGTCTCGCCAAGTTGCCCAGGCGGGTCTCGAACCCGCGGGCTCAGGCAATTCACTCTCAGTCTCCCAAAGGCGCGGGATTACAGGCTGAGCCACCGAGCCCAGCTCAGACTATGATTCTTAAACTCATCTTCTCCTGAGAACCTTCATCAAACAGTGGTAATAATATCATTTCTATACATTGCCAGGTTTGTGCTTTCCTGATGATTTTTAAATGAATGATTCCTTACATTCACTTATATACAAATACGTATAGTTAAATAACAAAATATTTGAAAGAATCTGCTATGGCTATCCACCATATTTAAAAAATAAAGGATAGGCCAGGCACAGTGGCTAACGCATGCAATCCCGTTATTTGGGGAGACTGAGACAGGTTAGATCGCTTGAGCCCAGGAGTTGGAGACCAACCTAGGCAACATAGCAAAACCTCATCTCTACAAAAAAAAATTTTTTTTAATGAGTTGGGTGTGGTGGCATGTGCCTGCAGTCCCAGTTACTCAGGAGGCAAAGGCTGAAAAATAGCCTGAGCTCAGGAGTCCAAGGCTGTGGTGAGTTGTGACCAGTCTGGCAGATGGAGTGAGACCCAAACTCAAAAAATAAATAAAATATGAATTGAGACCCCATCTCTAAAAAAATTAAAATGAAAAATTAAAAAGAGGGAAACCATATGATGAAACAAAGATTTAGACTAAAACACTCTATAAAATGCAACAACTATTTATGCTCTAAAAACAAAAACCTTTACAACTTTAGAACTACTTATGGAGAAGTAAAAAAAAAAAATAAAAACCTTTACAAACTAGTAATAGAAGGGAGCTTTTTTAGCCTATAAGCACTACAAGCATATACCACAGTTAAGTCATGATACATTAAAGAAAAATTTCTCTAAAATCAAGAATAAAACTAGGATATATACTGTCACCATTTCTATTCAACATTATACTTGTGAAAGTCCTAAAAACATGGTACTTGCAGATGACATGATCATGTACAGAAAATATTACAGAACACGTACAAGAAAACTACTAGAAGTGATAAGTGAAATTTAGCAGGGTCACAAAATTCTAGACAGTATTCAAAATTCATACTTCTGTGTACTAGCAGTGAATGATTGGAAAGTAAATTTTTAAAAGTACAATTCACAATAACATCAAAGTACAGTAAATGTTTAACATCAAGCTGGCTGTGGTGGCTCATACCTGTAATTCCAGCACTTTGGGAGGTGGAGGCAAGAGGATTGCCTGAACCCAGGAGTTTGAGACCAGCCTGGGCAACTTGGTAAGACCTAGTCTCTACAATAAATCAAAAAATTAGCTGGGCATGGTGGCACATGCCTGTAGTTCCAGCTACTTGGAAGACTGAAGCAGAAGGATTGCCTGAGCCCAGCAGATCAAAGTTGCGGTGGCTGTAAGCATGCCACTGCACTCTAGCCTGGGCAGCAGAGTAAGACTCCGACTCAAAAAAAGCTTAACATCAAGATATATTAAATGTTAAATTTATGATTAAATTTAACAAAATGTGTAGATCAATACATCGAAAACTGCAGTGTACAGGTTTTTGTTGAGAAAAATCAAAGACCTAAATAAATAGAGAAATATACCATTTTATGGATTAGAAAACTCAATGTTGCTAAAATGCCAATTCTCCCAAATCAATCTCTAGGGTCAATGCAATCAGAATCAAAATCTGCAGGCTTTTTGATAAAAGTTAAGAAACTAATCCTGACATTAACATGAGTATACAAAGGATCTAGAATAGCCAAAATAGTTTTTGAAAAAGAACAAAGTTAAAGGACTTACACTACTTGTTTTACTCTATGCTGCACTAATGTTGAACTGGTGGTAAGGATGAAATATAGTTCAATAGGACATTCAAATATAGACCCACACACCCATATTGACCTGATTTTTCAATAAACATGCTAAGATAATTTAGTGGGGAAAAGGTCATTGTTTCAACAAATTGTGCTGGAACAACTGAATATTCTTATTTAGAAAAAATGATGTTCAACTTCACACCATTATAAAAGTTAATAGAAGCAAATCATATCTCTAAATGTAAAAGCTAAAATTATAAAACTTGTAGAAGAAAATATAGGAGATGCCTTTTTGGCTTTTGGTTAGGCAAAGATTTATTAATTAGGACACAAAAAGCATAAACTATTGAGAAAATATCAGTTGAGCTTCATGAAAATTGCAGACTTTTGTTCTTCAAAAGGCAGTGTTCAGAAAATGAAAGGCAAGCCACATACTTGGAGAAAATATTTGTAGAATGTATATCCAACAGAGGACTTACATGTAGAATATAGGATTCTTATAAGTCAATAATAAGGCAAACAATGATATATCAAAGAAGAAATATGGATAGTAAGTACATGAAAAGATGCTCAATAACATTATTCAGTTGGAAAATGCAAATTAAAAACACAATGAGATACCATATACACACCAACTAGAACAACTAAAATGAAAAAGACTGATGTCATACCATGGTAGTAAGGATGTCATTTATAACACTCATATACAGCTGGTGGGAGTGTAAAATGATACAGTCATTTAGGAAAACAGCTTAGCAGTGTCATAAAAAGCTAAATATTCACCTGCCATACAACCCAGCCATTCCTCTCCTAGCCATTTACCCAAGAGAAATGAAAGCATGTGTCCATACAAAGTATTGTTTATGAACGTTTGTAGCTGCTTTATTTGTAATGGTCAAAAACTGGAAAAAGGGCTTGGTGACTCAGCCTGTAATCCCAGCACTTTGGGAGGCTGAGGCGAGTGGATTGCCTGAGCCCGTCGGTTCGAGATCCACCTGGGCAACTTGGCGAGACCTCGTCTCTGCAATAAATCAAAAATTAGTCAGGCATGGTAGCGCACGCCTGTAGTTCCGGCTACTTGGAAGGCTGAGGCGGAAGGATTGCCAGAGCCCAGCAAGTGGAGGCTGCAGTGGCCAGGAGCATGCCACTGCACTCCAGTTTGGGCAACAGAGTGAGACTCCAACTCAAAAAACAAAACTAAACAAAACTGGAAACAACACAAATATCTACCAGTATTTTGACAGGTAAAGAAATTGTGCTATATCTATACAATGGAGTACTACTTGGAATTAAAGGAAATGAAATATTGATTTACATAACAACATAGGTGAATTTCAAAATAATTTTGTCAAGTGAAATGCACTAAAATAAAGTATATGGTACGATTCCATTTATATAACATTCTGAAAAATGCAAACTAAGCTTTTGGAGGTGATACATGTGTTTATTAATCTGATTGTGGTGGTTGTTTCATGAGTATATAAAGACGTACAGTAAGTCCCCTACATGTGAGCAAGTTCCATTCTGAGAGTGCATCATATGTTCAATTTGTTCATAAGTCCAAGAAAGTTAGCCTAGGTACCAAATTAACACAATCAGCTATATAGTACTGTACTGTATTAGGTTTATAATACTTTTCACAAAAATAATACACTTTTTTAAAGCACACACAAAAGATATTTTTAATCATACAGTCTAGTACAACAGCTGCCAGATAGTGGCTGACATCAAGTGAACAAGCAAGAAGAGTTACTGACTGGAGGAGGGAGAAGAGGTGGGAGATGAAAGAACTGAAGGATTGTCAGCAATAGCAGTCAGAGGGCAAGTTGCAGTTTCACTCACTTCTGACATTGAGGGCGCAGGTTCTGGTTCCTTGCTGATTTCAATTCTATCTGTCCTCTTGAAAAACATCTCAGTAGTAGCTCTTTTTTTCTCATCATAGTACTGTACAGTAAAGTACACAAAAGCACAACCACTTTTAGAGGATGCACACATGTGACAATGTATGCCAGACACATTAACTGACTTTTGTGCCTGGACTTGTGAACACACATTTGCATCTTTGAAAGTTCGCAACTTGAATATTTGTATGTAGGGGACTCACTGTACTTACTCATCAGATGTACACTTTAAGTATACTGTATACAGCTTAATGTAAGTTCATTATACCTCATTGAAGCTATAAAAAATATATATAAGCTACTGTTATTATTTTTGGTAACTTATCAGGCTTCGATTTCCTCATCAATGAAGTAAAAAATAATACTTGTCTCAGGAATTTTTCAAAGATTGTGTGTGCATGTGGGTGTATTTTTTTTTAACTACAATGCCTGACATGGAACAAGTGTCTCAATTCATGTTAATTCTAATCCACCATCTCCCTGCCTCTTTCATAGGACTGAAAAAGTTGTCAAACACTTTCAGATCACCTTCATGATACATTTAGCATCATCTTGGTAGCCCATTCTCTCTCAGCATGTTTTAATGGCTAAATTTAGTTATGTATTTTAATGTTAAATGTATTAGAAAATGTAATCTATAGATTTGCTTTCAATACAGATGCCTTTCCTTCTCATGAAAGTGATGACTTCTAGCCAGGCACAGTGGGGTGCACCTGTTATCTCACCTATTCGGGAGGCTAAGGAGGATCTACTTGAGTACAGGAGTTCGAGGCTGGAGTTCAGTATGATTGTGCCTGTGAATAGCCACTGCACTCCACCCTGGGCAACTCAGTGAGATCCCGTTCCTTGTGGGGGGAAAAAAGAGAGAAAGTGATGTCTTCAAGCTGTGAGCATGACATGACGAGAAAATTTTATTTTGCTTCTCTTCCCACCCCCTCACAGGGTTTATCCATGGCTTAGAGGACTGGGTTATACATCCTTGGGTATATTTTTATTGGGATTTTTATTATGGAACATAGATAACATCTTTTGTGATTCACTGAGGTAAGATATATTTTTATTCTTTCAGAAATATTTTTGGAAGCATGGTATTAAACAGCATTTCATAAGCATGTAGAAATATTACTGCCCTGAAATGATTTTTATACTGTTGTTGACATTTAAAAGATATGCTCAGCAGAATAAAGTTAATTCTGGGTATAACTGTTTAAATTATCCAAAATTTTGATGGACCCGAGAATATTTCATAACCTCTGTAGGGTTTGGGTTTTGCCTGTGTGTACATTACAGAACTGTACAGTTAGATGGCACAGTTAATCAACTGTTGATTATGTCTTTGAAACCTGCCTAATCTGTTTTATTGAATAAACAAGACTGATTTGTAATAAGCATATGACGTACATGTATATAAATTTGTACTTTCATAGGCTTAATGTTATTTTCTGAAAAAGATAAGTGTTCCTTTTACCATCCTGTCAGCAATTATATTTTGACAGGAGTATGAATCTCTGGATTCTAGTCTGTCACTAAAACACTATCTTTCTGGACCTCATTTTTCATAAAATGAACATGTTAAACAAGTAAACTAGTGGGTCATTCCAACTCGAAATTCTGTGACCTAGCAGTTTTGCATAAATAGGGATAGAGGAATATATTACACAGCACCACAGGGAGGCAATCAACAAAATTCAGACTATGAGAAGTCTACAGGACTACCTGTTCTCTTCAGCAAATAAATTGCAGAGGAGGGGGAAAAGTTTAAAAAGTGGGGAAGAGGAATGTGTCAGTTAAGAGGCATAAGAGATATATCAACCAAATCCAATGTGTTGGCCTTTTCTGGATCCTGATTCAAACAAACCAACTGTTAAGAAGAAGAGGCCGGACCTGATGGCTTAACCTGTAATCCCGAGCTTTGGGAGGGCGAGGTGAGTGAATTGCCTGTGTCTGCAGGTTCGAGACCCACCTGGGCAACTTGGCGAGACCTCATCTCTACAATAAATCCAAAAAAATTAGCCGGGCGTGATAGCACGTGCCTGTAGTTCCAGCTACTTGGAAGGCTGAGGCGGAAGGATCGCCGGAGCCCAGCAGGTCGAGGCTGTGGTGGCCAGGAGCGTGCCACTGCTCTCCAGTCTGGGCGACAAAGTGAGACTCCAACTAAAAAAAAAAAAGAAGAAGAAGAAGAAAAAAAAGCTTATGAAAAATTTGGAACTTTGATCAGTAATTGAATATTTGATGATATAAGGGATTATTGCTAATATTTTAGGTGAAAATGGTATTATGGTTATGTTTTAGGGAGATTTTCATCTTTTAGAGATACATACTAAAATATTTAGAGATAAAATGATGCAATATCTGGAACTTGCTTCAAAATAATATGAGAGGTAGAAGTGAGTGAGGGTTTATATGACACAGATTGACCATAAATTGGTAATTGTTGAAGTTGGATCATGGATACCTGATTATTCTGTCTCCTTTTTGCACATGATTAAAATGTTCCATGGTAAAAAGTTAAATAAGTAAATATAGACCTTAGATATAGACAAATAACCCACCTTGCTTATAAAACTAAGATCTGGTTTTGAATCAGGAAAACCCAGCAGAATCCCCACTGTAGCATTTACATTGCTGAGGGAGATGATCACCCAGGGTGAGCATAACTAAGAAACAAAACAGGTTCTTAGAGAAGGTAATTGTTACAAAAATACATGGGGGGTATCTAGAAAGATAACTTGGTGTTTTACATTGTTTTTCTCCTCTAATAGATGTTAATATGGTATATATTTAGCCGAAGGCCTGAAATTTGAGAACCACCTGTGCTATTAGCCGAGTGATTTGGACAACTCAGTCTCTGAACTTCAGGTTCCTAATCTATAAAGCAAAGCTAATAATACCCTTCTCAAAGAATCCCTACTCTGACGTGAAATCAGAGGTATAAAAGGATTTTGGCCAGGTACAGTGGCTTGCACCTGTAATCCCAGCACTTTGGGAGGCCAAGATGGGAGAATTGCTTGAGGCCAGGAGTTCAAGACCAACCCGGGCAACATAGTGAGACCTTGTCTCTATAAAAACATAAAAAATTAAAAGGACTGTATAGAATATATGGAACTGTGCTAAATTGGTGGTTGTATGTAGACATAAGAAAAGCATGTATACAGTTTCTTGAGTGGATAGCTGACTACACTAGTGTTTCCCAAAGTATGTTCCAGAAAACTCTTGTTCCATTGTCAGTAAGTATTACCCTATAAATGTGGTGATGTCATGCTCTCTCAGGCCAGGCCTAAACTACACCAGATGAGGGAGAAAAGTATATAAAATAAAACTTTACAAGTATTATTTGACAAAAGAGTTCCATGGATTAGTAGGTTACCTGAAAAAATAAAGATAAACTCATGTATGATAGGACTTTTCAAAGACTTTAATCTGTTCATATACATTAAAAACTCCAAGAGGGCAGTAAACTGTATAATGTTTCCCATACTTATTTGACTCTAGAGTCATTTCTTCATGGAACTTGTGCTAGGAATTCTATTCCTCAAAAATATACTTTGGATAAAGTGTGACAGACTATAGGAGACTCAAGAAAATTAAATAATTGCCGTATTTGAGACTGATATTTCAAAATGCTCAAAGACTGTCAGCATTAGATGCTAAATATTTTTAAATTTTAACAGTAATTTTTTTTTCCCTCTCCCCATACAGGAACTTTCGAAAGAAGGTACCACCTATCATAGGCATTACCACACAGTTTCATGCATGGTGGCATATTTTAACTGGCCTTGGTTCTTATCTTCATATCCTTTTCAGGTAGGAAATAGAGACTTTTTAGCTTAGTATTAGAGGTTTTTTCCCCCTCTTTACTTTGGATAGGATGGTATAAATATTTTTTTAAAACTACAAAATTCACAGACATGGAAATTAAACAGCACACTCTTGAACAACCATTGGGTCAAAGAAGAAATCAAAATACCTTGAGTCTGGGCATTATGATCATGCCTATAATCCAAGCACTTTGGGAGGCTGAGGCAGGAGGATAACTTGAGGCCAGGAGTTCAGGACCAGCCTAAGCACATAGCAAGACCTCTGCTTCTACAAAAAAAAAAAAAAAAAATTAATTAACCAGGCTTGGTGGTACATACCTGTAGTCCCAGCTACTCAGGAGGCTAAGGCAGGACGATCTCTTGAGCTTGGAGTTCAAGACTACAGTAAGCTATAATCACACCACTGCACTCCAGCCTGGCCAACAGAGTGAAACCTTGTCTCTTAAAAAAAAAAGAAAAGAAAAGAAAGAAAGAAAACACCTTAAGACAAATACAAACGAAAATAGAAAATACCAGAACTTACAAGTTGCAGCAAAAGCAGTACTAAGAGGGAAGTTTGTAAAAATTGATGCCACATTTAAAAGGAAGAAAGCTCTCAAATGATGAAACTTTGCACCTCAAGGCACTAGAAAAAGAAGAACAAATTAAACCCAAATTTTGCAGAAAGAGAGAAAAATTAGAGCAAAAGTTAAACAAAATAGAAAAAAAATCTGCAAAATTAAGAGTTGGTATATTAAAAGATCAACAGAATTGACAAACTTTTAGCTAGACTAGGAAAAAAAGAGAGAAGACTCAAATAAATAATATCAGAAATAAAAGGCATTACAATGATGCCACAGAAATAAAAAGAATCATAAAAGACTATACTGTTGACAACTATATGCCATCAAACTGGATAGCCTAGAAGAAATGGGCAATTTCAAAACATACAACCTATCGAGACTGGGTCATGACTAAATAAACAGACCTCTAGCTAGGTTAAAACCCTCATGAAAAAAATTGAACAAGACACAAATGGAAAGACATCCTGTGTTCATGGATTGGAAGACAAAGTTGTTTAAATGTTTATACTACCTAAAACCATCTACAGATTCAATGCAATCTCATTCAGAATTCCAAAGGCAAGTTTTACAGAAATTAAAAAAAAAAAATTTAACATTAATATGGAACCACAGCAGGCCACAAATAGCCAAATAAATCTTGAAAAAAAGACTGAAGCATCACACTTCCTGGTTTCAAAATATACAGGCATACTTCGTTTTATTGTGCTCTGCAGATACTGTGTTTTTTTACCAGTTGAAGATTTGTGGCAACCCTGCATCCAGCAAGTCTGTGGGTGCCATTTTTTCAACAGCATGTGCTCACTTTATGTCTCTCTGTGTCTTATTTTTGTAATTCTTGCAATATTTCAAACTTTGTCAATCTTATATCAGTTATAGTGGCCTTTTATATTACTATTTTAATTGTTTCAGGGCACTGCAAACCATGCATATGTAAGATAGCAAACTTAGTAAATGTTGTATGTTCTGACTTCTCTATTGACAGACCATTCCCCAGTTTCTCTCACTCTTTTCCAGTCCCCGTATTCTACGTGTGTAAAATGCTATCAAACAGTATCACATGCTACAGAGAATTCTTTTGTGAAAACAAGAGTCATCTATACAGCCAATTTCATTGTTGTCTTATTTTAAGAAATTTGCACAGCCACCCCAACCTTCAGTAACAACAATCCTGATCAGCCAATAGCCATCAACATGAAAACAAGACACTCCACCAGCAAAAAGTTTACAACTGAAGGCTCAGGTGATTGTTGGCATTTTTTTTAGCAATAAAGTATTTTTAAATTAAGGTACCTTTCTTTACACATAAAGCTATTGAACACATAATAGCCTACAGTATAGTGTAAATATAACTTTTATATACACTGGGAAACAAAAATATTCATGTTACTTGTTTTATTGTGATATTCCTCATTTCAATATACTGGAACCAAGCCCGCAATATCTCAAAGGTATGCCTGTAATATCAAGCTTAAGTAAGTAAAACATGGTGGTGCTGACGTAAAGACAGACATGGACCAATGGGACAGAATGAAGAGCCCAGAAATAAATCCATACATACTTGTGTCAACTGCTGTTTGACACAAGTGCCAAGAATGCAAAATGGGAAAATGACAGTGTCTTCAAAAACTGGTGTTGAAAAAACTGGATATCCACATGCAAAAGAGTGAAACTGTACCCTTTTCTTACACTGTACACAAAAATCAACTCAAAATGAATCAAAGACTTAAATGTAAGACCTGAAACTGTAAAACTTCTAAAAGAAAACATAAGTTGAAAGCTTCTTGACTTTGATCTTGTCATTGACTTCTTGGATATGACACTAAAAGTACAGACAGCAAAAGGAAAAACAGACAGAACTAAATCAAACTAGAAAACTTGTCCACAGAAAAGGAGACCTGTGAAATGGGAGAAAATATTTGTAAAGCATGTATCTGATAAGGGGTTAATATCCAGAGTATATAAGGAACTCCTTTAAAAAAAACTAATTAAAAAAAATTGTCAGAGGAATTGAATAGGTATTTCTGCAAAGAAAACATAGAAATGGCAATAGGTATATGAAAATGTATTCAACATCACTAATGATTAAGAAAATGCAAATTAAAACCACAATGAAATATCACTTGGAAGTGGCTCTTATGATAAAAATAAAAGATAACAAGTGTTGCTGAGGATATGGAGAAATTGGAATCCCTGTGCACTTTTGGTAGGAATGTAAAATGGTGCAGTGGCTATGGGAAAACAGTGCAATGATTTCTCAAAAAATTAAAACTACCATATAATCCAGAAATCCGACATGGATATACATCCAAAATAATTGAAATCAGGATCTTGAAAAGATGTATATACTCCCATATTCCAATGCAGCATTATAAACAATAGCCAAGATATGGAAACAACTTAAAAGTCATTGACAGATAAAGAAAATGTGATATAAACAGACACTGAAATATAACTCAACCTTAAAAACAAGGAAATCCTGGGCAACCCCTTCAGGTCCCCTCCCACTTAAACCCTACTCTCTCACACACATGCAAAAAACCCCCCAAGGAAATCCTGATGTTTGTAACAATATAGATGAACTTTGAGGTTATGCTGAGTGAAATAAGCCAGTCACAGAAGGACAAATGCTGCGTGATTCCATTTATTTGTCGACTCCAAAATAGTCAAACTCAGAGAAGCAAACTGTAGAATGGTTGCCAGGGGTTGAGGAGAGGAGGAAATTGATAGTTGTTAATTAGTATGAAATTTCAGTTATGCAAGATGAATACATCTTAGAGATCTGCTGTAAAACATAGTGCCTACAGATAATAATACTGTACTGTGCACCTAAAAATGGTATTAAGAGGGTAGATTTCATGTTAAGTGTTCTTACCACAAAAATAAAAAGTGACACAAGGAAATTCCTGGAGGTGAGAGAGATGTGTATTACCTTGATTGTAGTGATGGTTTCATAAGTATATGCATATGTCCAAACTCATCAAGTTGTATACGTTAAATATGTGTAGTTTTTGTATATCAATTATACCTCAATAAAACTTTTGTTTTTTTGAGTTGGAATCTTACTCTGTCGCCTAGGCTGGAGTGCAGTGGCACATTCACGGCCACCCCAGTGTCGACCTGCTGGTCTCCAGCTATCCTTCACCTCAACCTTCCAAGTAGCCGGAAGTACAGGCACACACTACCAACGCCTGGCTAACTTTTGATTTTATTGTAGAGACGAGGTCTTACCAAGTTTCCTGGGCTAGTCTCGAACCCACAGCCTCAGGCAGTCCACTCAGCTCAGTTTCCCAAAGTGGCTGGGATTGCAAGCTGAACCACTGAGCCTGGCCAGAACTTTTTTTAAAAGTGTGGACTTGGAACTGAGCTACAATAAGTTAGTAACTGGCACATTTGGTGTAACTAAACAAGAAGGAAAGGGAAAGGCATAAACAACCCATATCAGGAATGTAAATGGCCAAGAAACATATGAAAAAAATGCTCACCATTACTCATCATCAGTGAAATACAAGTTAAAACTGCAGTGAGGTACCACTGTACACCAGTCAGAATGGTCATTATTTAAAAAATCAAAAAACGATAGATGTTGGCACAGAAGCAGTGAAAAGGGAATACTTACACGCTTTTGGTATAAATTAGTATAACCTCTGTGGAAATCAGTACGGAAATTTCTCAAACTAAAAGTAGATCTACCATTTGATCCAGCAATCCACTACTTGGTATCTACCCAATGAAAGAGAGGTCATTTTGCAAAAAAGACACCTGCATCCAGATGTTTATAGCAGCACAACTCACAATTGCAGAAATGTGTAATCAATCGAAATGCCCATCAACAATTAGTAGATAATGAAAATGTGGTATATGGAAGACTGAGGCAGAAGGTCGCCCGAGCCCAGCAGCTCAAGGCTGCAGTGACCAAGAGCTATGCCACTGCTCTCCAACCTGGGTGACAGAGTGAGACTTCTACTCAAAAAAAAAAAAGAAAGAAAGAAAAAATGTATATGTGGCATACTATTCAGCCATAAGAAAGAATGAAATAATGTATTTTGCAGCAACTTGGGTGGAATTGGAGACCATCGGCCTAAATGAAGTAACACAGGATCAGAAAGCCAAATACCACATACTCTCACTTATAAGTGGAAGCTAAGCTAAGGGTCTGCAAAGGCATATGGAATGGCGTAAAGGATGCTGGAGACTCAGAAGGGGGAGGATGGAAAGGGAAGGGGGTAGGGATGCAAATTACCTGTCGGGTACAGTGTGCACTAATGGGAGTGGTGGGTACAGCCCAGACTTCTTCACACTATACACAAAGCAGCCATGTAACCAAAAACCACTTGTACTCCTAAAGCTACTGGAATAAATATAATTTTGTACCTTATCCTGAATTGTGCCACTCTTCAACTGGTACAGTCTGGGCGACGGAGTGAGACTCCAACTCAAAAAAAAAAGAAAAACAGAATAATGAGAATAAGTAAATAACCAGTATCAGGAATATAAAAAGAAACATTACTATGGATACTAAGAAAGATATGAGAAAAATATTTTTAACAACTTTATGTGATAGGTATTTCTGTTTATGTTTGAAATTTTCCATAATAAAAAGTTTACTCACACCTATAATCCCAGCACTTTGGGAGGCCAAGGTAGTAGAGTCACTTGAACCTAGGAATTTGAAACCAGCCTGGGCAACATAGCAAGACCTTGTCTCTACAAAAAAAAAAAAAATTAAAAATTAGCCAGGCGTGGTGGCACATGCCTGTAGTCCCAGGTACTCGGGAGGCTGAGGTGGAAGGACCACCTGAGCCCAGGAAGTCAAGGCTGTGGTGAGCCATGATTGTGCCACTGTACTCCAGAACTTTCTGTCTCCCTAAACCAATTTTGGAGAACTTAGAAATCATCTAACATAACTTCTTTATTTGATCATGAAGAAAACTGGGGCCCAGAGAGAAGTGACTTGCCCAGGTCACACTGGCCAGTTAGAGTACAGTGTATTGGCTCAAGGTTAGAACCCGAAAATCTTGCTTCTATTTGCTAACTGTAATGCCTTGAATATTTGACCTTTCTGAGACTGTTTCATATGCAAAACAGGAATAGTAACACCCACCTACTTAGAGTAGTTTAAGAAGTGGATGCTTAAATAGTAGCAGGGGAGGTAACCCCAAGTATTGAATCCAGGGCTTCTCTGCCCCATTCTGGGCCCTTTCCTGAAAAGAAGGAAAAAGATGGCAACTTTATTTTGGAGACAAACGTCTGAAAAAACTGCTAAAACTGAGGTTGTATTTTAAAATAAACTATTCTTTTTTTGAGCTGGAATCTCACTCCGTCGCCCAGACTGGAGTGCAGTGACCGCTCCCGGCCACCACAGCCTCGACCTGCTGGGCTCCAGCAATCCTTCCGCCTCAGCCTTCCGAGTAGCTGGAACTACAGGCGTGTGCTACCATGCCCGGCTAATTTTTTTATTTATTGTAGAGATGAAGTCTCGCCAAGTTACCCAGGTGGGTCTCGAACCCGCAGGCTCAGGCAATCCACTCACCTCGGCCTCCCAAAGCGCTGGGATTACAGGCTGAGCTACCGAGCCCGGCCAAAATAAACTATTCTTAGTAAAACAGTATTTGACGCTCCCAGGTTCCAATCTTGGGTACAGTAAAGTGGCATTACAGCCACATTAAATTTCACAAATTCAACTCTCATGCTCTCTCATCTTTTCTTTCTCTTGTTTAAAATACAGATTGAGTATCCCTAATCCAAAATGATCGGAATCAGAAATGTTTCAGATTTCAGAGGTTTCTTTTGGATTTTGGAGTATTTGCATAGACATAACAAGATATCTTGGGGATAGGACCCATGTCTAAACACGAAATTCATTTATGTTTCATATATACACATAGCTGAAGATAATTTTATACAATATTTTTAATAATATTGTGCATGAGACACAGTTTGTGTACACTGACCCATCGGAAGCAAAGATGTGAGTACCTCAGCCACCCATGTGGACAGTCTAGCATCATCATTCCTGACTCTGAACTTATTTGCTGCCGATAAGCAATTGTTTTCTTATGCCTATTCATACATAAGTACTTAACAGTAAAAAATATGAATACCATGAAAAAATAGCGTGTTCAGGGTAACCAAGCAGCACAGTGACAGCACTGTGTTAGCTGTTAAACAACAGGACCAACCAACAGCGACAGGCTCTCAGTCTCTACCTCCTCCGATATTTTGATTTACAGTTTACACTGTATTTACAGTTTACACTGTATCTTGCTTTTTTAAGAGGGTGGTAGTGGTAAGAAACATCAACAGCAATTGAGGGACCAGGAGGTAGATGAGGAGGCATTCTGCCTGATGGTGTTTTAAAATGTTTCCTCCAGAGTCTTCTGCCTCATTAACAGTTTTTTTCTTAGAAGTCTGATTTCAGCCAAGCGCAGTGGCTCAGACGTGTAATCCCAGCACTTTGGGAAGTGGAGGCAAGAGGATTGCCTAAGTTCAGGGGTTCAAGTCCAGCCTGAGCAACATGGCGAGATCTCATCTCTACAATAAATCAAAAAATTAGCTGGGCATGGTGGTGCATGCCTGTGGTTCCAGCTACTTGGAAGGCTGAGGCAGAAGGATCACCTGAGCCCAGCAGGTTAAGGCTGCGGTGCACTCCAGCTTGGGCAACAGAGTGAGACTCCAACTCAAAAAAAAAAAGAAGTCTCTGATTTCATAAACTGACATGATTCCTTGTTCTGTTATGAAAGCACACTGCTTTAGCCCTTCCATAAGTATTTTGACTGCAACCTGTCATATGAGGTCAGGTGTGGAACTTTCCCCTTGTGGCATCATGTTAGTCCTCAAAAAATTTCATATTTTGGAGCATTTTAGATGTTTGGATTAGATTTCAGATTGGGGTACTCAGTGTATACTGTATGTTTTGCATGTGTACTCATATTTGCATATTACTATTCAATACATCTAAATAGTGTACTATTCATAAAACGTATTTCTCATGTATGTTACAGACAGTTTAATAAATTTTTCAGGGATAAATTCAACTATACTTCGCTTTATGCACTGATTTCAGAATTTGATTTTATCTTGAGAGGTGATTTGCTTTAAAAAAAAAAAGAGTACAATGAAGCCGGGCTCGGTGGCTCAGCCTGTTATCTCGCGCCTTTGGGAGGCTGAGGTGAGTGGATTGCCTGAGCCCGCGGGTTCGAGACCCGCCTGGGCAACTTGGCAAGACCTCATCTCTACAATAAATAAAAAATTAGCCAGGCGTGGTAGCGCGTGCCTGTAGTTCCAGCTACTTGGAAGGCTGAGGCGGAAGGATCGCCGGAGCCCAGCAGGTCGAGGCTGCGGTGACTGGGAGCGGCCACTGCACTCCAGTCTGAGCGACAGAGTGAGACTCCAACTCAAAATAAAATAAAACAAAATAAAGAGTACAATGAAGGAGACTTTTTGTTAGCTTCCTCATTATCTCATACCTATATTTAATCCTTGTAGAGCTGATATACCTATTTCCAAAATATTCTAAAAATACTCTAATCCTTACTACCGTGTATCTTCAAAGATGGAAGAGCTAATTGTGATCTGAGTCATACCAAGCAAGTTCAGTGCTCACCACTAAACAACAAACATCCTGAGCTCACAGCCTACGAACTGAGCATTTCTCTGTGTTCCTTAGGCATTTTGTAAAGTGTTCTACACAGAGTCAGTGCTCCAAAAAATGACTGGTGAACAAACAAAGGATATTCTGATGTTGTTGGATTTTTGTATATACAGAATGCCTCTGCCCTATGCTTGAATTTGTCAGCAAACCAGTTTGCTTGAATTAAAAATGAGTCTGAAGTGTTTTCTCCCTCCCCCTTTTCTTTCAGTTTGTATACAAGAACACTTTACCTGAGGTACAGGCCAAAAGTGAAGGTAAGTTCACTTTTTAGTTCATGTGTGTGTTGGGGGAAGGGTGTTAGGAGGACAGGATGAAGGTGGAGGGAGAAGGGGTTATAGAGGCAGTGAAGCGAACACAGGCTTTGGAACCAGAGGCACTGAACCTTAAGTCTTTCACTTAACTATCATGTGAGCTTGTACATGTCGCTTCTCTTTAAGCCTTAATTTCTTCCACAGTAAAATGGAACCTTAACAACTACATTGCAGAGTTGTTTTAGATCAGAGATGATTTCTATGCCCAGTTCCATGCTTGACAAAGTAGAAGCTTTTAATACATTTAAATAAATTAAAGTACTTTCTGAGATCCGGAACAAGTCTAGAAGGAATATGCTATGCTCAGGCTACTCATGCCAGAACAATCACTAGCAAACCTACTGAGCACTACAGTCATAGTCATAGTCATAGCCGGTGAATTCTTTCTCATTCTTTTTCAGGGGTAAGGTGGAACAATTGTATCTTTTCTTATTTTGTCCTAACTTGTTTCCAAACAGTTTCTCTTTGGCATCTGGCCAATGATCCTATTTGAGCCTCTCAAGAAGCACTGATGAATTATTCCACCAAGAAAACAAAAAGAACCTACCATAAGCCTGGCAGAACAAATAAGGAAATTAAAGATCTACAAGTTCAAATTTGCTATGATCATCCCAGCAGAACAACTTTCTGATGAATGCTGCCTGCCACACAGACAATGAGGAATGGGCCTGTTGGGTGTTAGCTCATGGCTTTATCTCATCTGTCCTCTTCCTCCTCTCCCCTTAAGATGTTTATAAAGAAAGATGTGTACGTATAATCTCAAATCCAGAAAACACTGGGCTTTTCTTAACAGGTTTACAATTTGTGCTGGTTACAGGAAATTACCCTTTTCTCTTTTTGACAAGGAAGGGTTGCATGTGAATCATACCTTAACATTTAACTAATGCAAACAGTCAGCTAAGGACTGGCAGAACCCCATATCCAGATGGTTAGCTGTGAGCCAGCGCTCAGCTGTGTCAGCCTTGATTTATATTGTTGTCGTATTAACCTAATGGATGGTTTTTCAGGGTAAAAGCGCTAGCTGTGGGATTCTGCATAACTCTTCGCTGTCTGTCCCAGTGCTGGTCGGAGTGTCATAAGCAAGCTCAGACCTGCCACTGGTTCCATACTTGTCATGTTCCAGTATTTACAGTGAGCTCTGGAGTGTCTGTGAATGGCCAGTCAGAGTGAATGGGTTGTCCTATCCCCCTTCTGAAGCCCCATGAGTCTGTGGCCACTTCAGCCAGCTAATAAAAGTGGTTACCCTGTTTCCTTTGATCTCTGCAGATCTTTAAGTTGTCCCTGTTTTTGTGGCTAGGCAGACATGATTGGTTCTAGCCTACCGTATTTCATCCTCCTGGCACAACTTATTTAAAGTTATTAGGAATGGCATTATAATCTGACTTTTAAAATTGTGCAGTATTTTCCAGTTCTCAGAAAGGCCATGGTTATACCCAGGGAAGTGTGTCAGGTTAACTAAAGCTAAAAGTATCAACATCCTTTACATAACGCTCATTAAATTGTTGCTCCTTAATTTTTTGAAGGAAGTAGATTTAAGAGGTTGAGAATAGCTCTAACTTGTAACTTACAGAACCCACAAAAATTAGGGTGCTAAGAAATGGCAGTACAAAAAATCTCATCGTAAAGTAGTTATAATTTGCATTTGAATGTATAACAAATTGAATCACTTTTCACAAACATAACACCTGCCTGCAATAAAAACCTAATTTGACCCCTCTGCACATACATCACCATATTTGTAGCTCTGTACCATTTAGCATTTTTATGACTTTTTTCTGCTCTATAAATTATTATAAAACCCAGATCATTTTTTACCACATGGTGGCAATTACCCAAGATTAAATCCTGTGCTATAGTTTCAAAGGAAAATCTTTTTATTTTTATTTTTTTTAGGAAAAGGTGATAAAACACTTTTGTCATTTTTCCGGTATGTGTGAGTAGTCTTGGTACAAATACAAAACCAAAAAATGTCTTGTTTTTCTTCACCTACTGGCCTTAGTTTTAGCTCAAGTACTATTTTCCTCCCCTGAACATGCCAACATGCCACATAAGCTGATTCTCCACCTCCTTTTATGACCCTCCAGCAAGAAAAACATTAATTGCCAAAACATTAATCTGAGGGAACTTTGTTTGGTTCTGCCTAAGGAGGGTATAAAACTAAACCATTCCAACACACAGCCGATAAAACGATTCTTTCTTTTGCCCCAAGATTCTGACTTCTAGCTACATTTCACCTGCAGCTTCCTGGGCTATCAACCATCATGCATTTTTTAAAACTCATCCATTTGATTCACACCATTATCTTTTTAGACGCTTCAGATATACTTCTGCATAAAGAATCTATATACAGTGTAGGATGCAGGCACACCATAACAGTGCTGCTGAGCACTGTAAAACTGAGGTTCTGCAGCATTAAGTCAGCTAAGGGTGTGGCGGCGTGCACACCCTGATACTGAGGCCATTTAGAGCAGTTTGTTGAATGAGCAATTCAGTCACCACCATCAGTGGTCTTTTGTTGAATAAAGTTGTCTAGCACCTCACTGGAGAGTCATCTGCACCCTGAGGTGACCTGTAAGACAGCGGTCAATTCTTCAAAGATCCTTGTTTGTGTTGTGAGAACAGTGTGAAAGCTGAGTGTAAATATGATGGATGTGTTAAACAGAAGCAGAAACAGCTGCTCTTGAAGGTCCCAAGTCAAGCGCTTTCTTTTTAGCAACTAAGTAACACACTTAAACTGTATCTGTGCCACACTCGATGGAAATCACTGGTGACCTGGATTTTTCTTAATTATCTTTAGCTCAATGGCTTAATGGTTTTCCTTCTAGGATTCTGTGTGTACTTTACAAGGTCAGATTCCTGCCCCCCTCCCATTTGTTTTCTTGGAAAAAAGCTTCCTGTAACTAGAGTATACAAAAAGCCTGTTTCCTGCTGAACAAATAATGGTTTGCTTGCTTATCACCTGATGTGAAACGTGTTCATCCCTGAGCCACAAAGCAAATGCTATCTTAGAAAATATTAATGCATTGTGAGGATGTGGAAGAAGCAGTTTGCTTGCACATTTGAACATACTCTTTGTGCCCCCATTTTCAGTCTGGAAAATTTAAAGCAATTGAAACTTTATTTTTGCTTTTGTTTTTTTAAGAAAAATGAGGTGAAAGGTAGTTATTAATCTGACTGACCACTCTACCTGCCCCTCCTGCATTGTGTGTTCATGAAGTATCCCCACCACCTGAAATCAACTTTTTATCCTTGTGATAGTATATACATTGATAATTAGCAGCAAAAACACTTGTTATTGTATAATCTACAAATGAGAACCCAAATGGTGGTGTTTGGTTTGAGAAATAAATCAAATATTATGATTTAACCATGATGCAAAATTTCAGGACAGTTCATTTGGCTTTCCCTTACCATACGAGGGCTTTTCTTATAATAAATAGAGGAGGTGTGAGTCAAATAAACTAAACAGACCAAAAACTTCAGTTATACAATGCATGAAAATATTTAAATACTGTAAAAATTAAGTTCTATTATACTGCCGGTCAGTTCTGAATTTAGCCAGTGCCTTGTGTCTAATAATTTAGTTTAAGGTTTTCTTATGAATCCTGTGAATACAGTGATTTTGCTCTTGAGAACAATTATTTGTTGCTAAATTTGACAGTTGTAGCTACCAACTCTATATTTACATGACAAGAAGTTTTTGTGACCCTGTGGTTTATGATGTGCTGCTGAATAAGCATTTATGTAAAAATTGATGTTTCAGAGACACCCAGCATAATTGGAATTTGCAACTCTGTGGCTATTAGCAGATCTACCTCTTATGTTTTATGTCATATCAGTGCTATAATATACCTAGTTGATCATTTTGTCTTGTTTTTCAATGTCTGAAATTAAAGCTTATTCTCTATGCTGTAGCCATTTGAAAATAACAAAACAAGGCTGTGCTCGGTGGTTCAACCTCTAATCCCAGCACTTTGGGAGGCCGAGGCGAGTGAATTGCCCGAGCCTGCAGTTTCAGGACCCACCCGGGCAACTTAGCGAGACTTCATCTCTACACTACATTAAAATTAGCTGGGTGTAGTAGCGCATGTCTGTAGTTCCGGTTACTTGGAAAGCTGAGGCGGAAAGATCGCCGGAGCCCAGCAGGTCGAGGCTGCGCACTCTAGTCTGGGGCGACAGAGTGAGACTCCAACTCAAAAAAAAAAAAGAAAAAGAAAAAATAACAACAAAAATTTGGTTTTAAAGTAGTTAAACCTCTTTATGGAAGAAGATATAAAATGAGGGGGAAAAAAACAGGAATCATGTTATTGTGATCCATCTAACTGGAAAATTTCAATGCTGCCTTTTAAACTGTTGCATTTCCTTTAAGAATAAGGAAACACTTTTATTAAAAAAAAATCTAGCTACGTAATTGCCAAGTGGGGGGAGTTGCTGGTGTTGTTGAAGTCCTGTGAGCATGCCAGTCAGCTTCATAGACCCAGATACAGACACTGCTTCACCTGAAATTCCAACTGAAGATAAAACTCTGACTTGGGACTATAAGGTTTTGCCTTGGGCATGACACCTTGACATTGTTGAAAGAAAAGTGGAAATTGTCAGACATAACAGGCTTCACCAAGACACAGTCCTTTGACAGGCAATCAGAGCAGCTGAGAAGACATCACTAAATAATTTAAGTAGTATTGTTAGCTGCAGAACTTCTGCTGTTGACACACATCTGGCCACTTGGAGTCAAAGTAAGCAGTACTGACCACCCATTTTAATACACTTTAAAGAACTAATACTGTTTCTCAAGGTCTTCATTAATCACTAAATCCAGCACATTTGTTTTTGATTGACAGCTAGTATAGAAAAGATTGATCACAAGAATGTTTCTAACTAGGAAACTTTAAATCCCAAATCAAGAAATTTAATTACAGGCTGTAAGTGGCCTAAAACTCCCCCATTCTGTTTATTTCAGCAACTGTCAGTATCATAGCACCAGCCACAGTTCACACTGTGCTCTGCCTTCAGTTCGTTTTCAACCTTTACCACAAGACTTGCCCGCTTGGTTGCTCTAAAGTGCACAATGGTGATACTTGAATTGAATATAGTCATTGGTAACTTAAATACAAAATTGTTGTAAAGCTTCTGATGACAGAGTTAGACTCCAACACAAAAACAAATTTTTTTAAAAACCTCAAAAAATAAAACAAAGCTTCCAAAAAGTTTCTGGCAATGTCAGATCTGCAGAGCACCACTTTTAAGCTGAGTTTGCAGAACTAACTCTTAAGGTTGCAGCAAAGCATATCTGTTGGAGAAATCATTAAGCATATAAATTATGGTTTCCTGTAAATACTCATTCTGAGATCGTCTGTGCCTAAAAGAAAATGATTAAAATGTGTGATAATATCACGGGGCCAGCAAACTACAGCCCATAGGCCAAATCCAGTCTGCAGTTATAAGGCCTTCAAGGTAAAGACGGATTTTGCATTTTTAAATCATGGTTTAAACAAACAGGAAGAAAGAATAATGTGCAGCAGAAACCGCATGTTACCTGCACAGCCTGAATATTTGCTCTCTGGTGCAGGGGTTTGCCTCCTGCTCTAGACTGTCAGCCAGTGAGCTCTACCCAGCTGCACTTCCCTGCAAGATGATTCTAGTGTGCATTTGTCACAATGAAAGTATTTTATACATTTAAGACATCTCTGACTTCTTTGTCGACCGTGATCACGGATTTGTGTTCAATATTTTCCCTATAAAAGTATTTTTTCACATCAGTTTTACTAGACTGACAACAGCCTACTATAAAGTGCCTAAGCCTTTGAGAAAAATTATTATGAGCAAGATCTGTGATTTTTTTAATGCAAAGGCAATTGCAGTCTATACTGTAAAATCAAAAGATGCTAGTTGCATTCAGCTTTTGAGCTGACTTCCAGAAAGTTGAGATCTTTTGGCCATTTTTTCTCATGTCATATAAAAAGTGCCACATGGTGGTTGTGAAGGACCTAATAAGCTGTGGTAGTCATGTTCATTTTCCTTCCTTCCTTCCTACTTTCTAACTTTCTAAAAGGAAAAGTTCAAAGTACTTTCCACAATTAGTTCTGGCTGCTTTTGGCTTTTCTTTTTAGAGCTAAATTATTCATACCAATGAATAAATAATATTTTAAGAAACTATGATCTGTTTTGTTTAATGTACTGAATGAGCATTGCTTACTATCAAATATTCCCATACTTTTAATATTTCTGAGTCAGTCATCATGTGGCCAACAGATAAA